TTGCCTAATGGATATTAGGGTTTCCTGCATGGTTATTAGGGTTCCTTGAATATTTGGGAAGGTTTCAGTATTAACTGGATAATAAAGGGATTGGCCAACTAATCTCCTATGTTTCTCATGGGTATTGATTGTTCCCTAGGTGGTTAAGAGTCCAGTTCCCTTGTGATTAGTTTGCTGTGAACTTCCTAATCTAAGTTGTCAACTCCCTTAATTCAAGGAGTTGTTATTTAGCTTCCCTAAGCCGCCGGTTGTGGCGTAATCATATGAGTGAAATACAATTCAACCTTTGAAAATCAATAGATGTATTTCTTATTACAATACCAACAATTATAGCAACAGCTTTCCTTTTAATATTTTCCTATATAGTAACTAGGTAGCTTCCTCTCTATGTCACTCCTTAACAACCTCCTAACAACCAATGCCAACACATCACTACAATCATGCTGATTTGGCATAATACACAAATCCTATCAGACTTAACATCTTACGTTGTTGATCGATGTCAGTGGTGTTGACACATGTCTTGAAGCAAGGGGGCTTCTACTCCGAGGAGTAGAAAGCTCCCATTAACTTGTTATGGGGTTAGCCAGGAGAGATTTTTTTAGTGTGCCTGGAAATACTTTTCTAGTATATTAAGTGTCATAATACAAATGGTTGGGTATTTGGAAAGAACAAAAAATATTTCAACCACTTCCTGGCACACCAAAAACTTCAAATTTCAACTACTTTTATTATAACATTTAGTATACAGAATTGTGTTTCCTGCACGTTGAAAGCTTTCTCGTTAGCTAGTGGCTTGTTTCGATCACATGGTACCAACAAAGACTGAATAAGGGGCGGCCTCTAATGTGGTCCCAAATCATGCTTTGAGTCAGTCGTCTCACGTGCTTCCTGGTAAAAGATGAGATTGTTGAAAAGACTAGAGTACATGCATGCATGGTTGAAGGATCTGAATCCACAATCTCCTGAAGCTGAACCCAGCTTCGCAGTAGGTGCAGCTCAAAAGGTCGGAAGTTGAATAGAATATTCCAAGTTAGTATTAAAATATAATTGGTTTCCACTATCATCTGATTGTGACCAAAAGTTTCTTTAAAGTCAATCTAGAGAGAGAAAGTCGCGCCCTCGAGAAGGACGACAAAGCTTTCGCGCACTCAAGAAAGACGACAAAGCTTTCTTTCTTATCACACACTGCTTCAAGTTTTGTGCACTTGGAGGAGATTAATTACAGGAGGAAATATGGTGAGAACTATGCAGCTACCTATACCCAAAGAGTTGATGAATATATGGGATGTATGGAATCTGAGGGGCTGCATTCTCTTGAGCCTTGCTGTTCAAGTTTTCCTAACGCTTTCTGCGCCTTTCAGGCAACAATGTAGAAGCAAGTTGCTCCTAGGGTTGATCTGGTCGGCGTACTTGCTCTCCGACTGGGTTGCTGCTGTTTCCATTGGGATCATCGCCAAAAGCCAGACTGAGATTTGTGGCTCTAGAAATAATGAAGACCTTTTAGCATTGTGGGCTTCGTTTCTTTTGGTGCATCTTGGTGGCCCTGATACCATTACTTCTTTTGCTCTGGAGGACAATGAGTTCTGGCTCAGGCACTTGATTCAACTCATCCTACAAGTCCTGGCTGCTGCTTATTGTTTCTATCTGACACTTGTCGAAAACAGGCTTTGGATCCCGACGATCCTAGTATTTGTTGCTGGAACTGTCAAGTTTGGGGAGAGAACATGCTGTCTGTATCTTGCAAGCTTGGACCATTTTGGAGAGACTGCATTGCCAAAGCGAGAACCTGGTCCTGACTATGAAGAGGCCGTCGACATATATTCTACAATGAGGTCAGTCAAAGTAGAGATGCCGCCAACAAGGCCATTGCACACTGTGAAAGCGATCAATCATAAGAAAAACCCCAAATTTACAGTTGACGGAGTTACTCAAGAATATTTAAAGGACATGCAGTTATTGCAGGGAATCATATCACTTCTTCGAAAGCTTCAAGGACTCATTATTGGGCTCCTTCTGAGCTCCAAAGATCGAGAGCGCAGTCGAGATTTTTTTCTCAAAAGAACACCCATCAGTGCTTTTCAACTGATAGAGTACGAGCTCAGCTTCATGTATGAGGTTCTCCATACCAAGGTAGCTGTGGTGCTACACAAAATCGGCTACTTGCTCCGCTTGTTCACCTTCTGTTCAACCATCGGTGCCTTGATTTTGTTCATTTTAGTAGAAAAAGATGAGTTTGAGAAACATGAGTATGGTAAGTTTGACATTGTTCTTACTTTTGCATTGCTTGGCGTAGCCATAGTCCTCGACATACTATCTGTGTTGTTGAAGCTCATTTTCTCTGACTGGACCATCATTGCCTTAAGAAACATCTGGAGCCAACGTTATATCCCTTCATGGATATTGAAAAGACGAAGGTGGTCTGGATCGGTGTCCCAGTATAATATGATAAGGAATTGCCTGGATGAGCGTCCAGAATGGGTGTTCACTATTGGTGGTTATGTGGGTGTTAGAGGAATCCTAGACAAAATAAAAGTTTCTCTCTTTTCTTCCTCTGAGAAATTCACGGATGAGCTCAAGGGCTTCATGTTCAAGCAGCTGAGGTTAAAATCTTTGGAAGCAAACAACAGAAGAACCGCCATGGAGGCATGCTCACAAAGAGGTGACTGGGCTCTCCTGCTGACTTCAGACTACGTGAAATTCAAATGGAGTGTAGGGGAATATCAGTATGCAGAAAGTGTTCTTCTGTGGCACATTGCAACAGAACTCTACTTTGCAAAAACCTTGGAAGAAGCTGACGATGACGAAAGGCGAAAAATCTGCAAAATACTTTCGGATTATATGTTTTTTCTTTTGGTGATGCAGCACAAGATGATGGCCCCATTCTTGGGGAATTGGCATATAGTCTTTCAGGACACTTGTGCAGAGGCAAAGAGATTCTTTTCCAAGCACTCAATATCTGATTATCGAAACGCCTGCAACAAGATCACTGATGTGAAGGCCAAATTCAGATCAGCTGCTGTGAAGGGAAGTAAAAGCAAATCTGTGTTGTTTGATGCATGTTTCCTAGCAGGAGAGCTAGGAGAGCTTGAAAAGTTGGAACGAGACCCGTGGAAGCTAATGAGCCGAGTGTGGGTGGAATTGTTGTCCTATGCTTCCATCAAATGTAGACCAATTGTACATGCTCAGCAACCAAGTAGGGGTGGAGAACTTCTGACTTTCACTTGGCTACTGATGTATCATCTCGGCTTGGGAACACAATTCTATGAGCTCGAAAACCATGCTGAAAAAATGGTGCCAACCAAGTGAAATCATCCATCCAAGCTTCTTTATCTTTTATTTCTTTAGGCAATTGGGTGGGGGATGCTTGTAATGAAATATGTTGTGTGACTTTATTACATTTTATTTTATTGGTATGGCGATCTGTTTGAAATCAAATGAACATTTTGCGTTGATTCAGTTCAGATGAAATTCCAAGTTCAGTAGATCATTTGCTTCTTCACTCCGATTAAAACTACAAGTGGTATTTCTTATTAAAATTCCATGAAATGTGTATGCTAATTGTTGCAATTTCTTATTAAAACTACAGAAAAGTAATCATATGCTGCAAGTTCACAGCATATCCGAGTTGAAATCCCACATCGGCCAGAGAAAGAAAGAAAGAAAGAAGAGTCTAAATATCCTAATTCCACTTCAACTAGCTTTGAAGCCTTTTACGGTAAAATCTCATATCTGACAGATTGTGTAGGAAGTAATTGCCAAGTTGAGGACAATATCGCGACCGGTGTCTCTGATATTTTGACGATCCGCAAGTCAATTTTCCCTTACAACTACTCCCTTTTTGCATGCATTACTCATCAATTTGGTTTTAATTGGCTTTGAAAACTCACACCTAACGCGTGGAGGGAGACCTGGTCAAAGTCTTTGACAAGTCTTTGATACAGCATGCCAAAGTTTACTAATAATCATTCGGGAAAATGGTCCCTACCGGTGTGATGTGAAGAACGTTCAACAGACCAGATGGGCATTGTGACCACTTACAAAACTCTTTGAGCTCATCTTTTTTCGATGAACAAGTCCCACTCGTTCTTTCTCTGATCGTGTTTTTGGTTCCTTCTTGATTATACGTTATCATCCGCCATGTCCACACGAGAGCTTTTCACCACTTCATTCCAGTCACCTTATGTGTCTCTAGACCTTCTTTCGTACGTGAAATCCGGGCAGGTCACCCCATTCCAAATTTTCAATGAAGTTATCATGCCGGATTTTCATTATCATATATCTAAAGATAAACAGTTTCTAACTGAATATGATGAAAAACACAAAAGCAGCAGCAGCACCAACAGTGAAGAAGACGACTCCTCTCGTTATCTGCAAACACTTCAGAAAATCCAGAGTGATCTCATTTACATCGGAAAGGCGTGTAGCAGACTGAAGCAATGGGAAGATCTTGTCAACGATGCTATCAGAGAATTAGTTCTTCAAAGCTTAGATGATGCCTTCAAAGAAAGAACGGAGACACTTGAAAACAGCACCAAAACAAATTTTCTTCACAACAAGCTTGACAAAGTTGTCAAAATTATCTCCAGTTTAAAGGAGTCTCTTCAATTACCTTCAGTGAACTTGGATTCTGAGAGCTTCAGACTTTCATGACGCTTGCGGAAGTCAACCTTAGTCATTCCTCGGCAGAACCGCAAGAAGTGAACTCGCATAACATTACGGAAGAGAGTTCAGCTTTCAAAGAAACTGAAGCAGCCTATAAAGATCTAGATAAAACGCGGCAGGCGCTGCTTCCTCTGCTTCTCAGTTTTCCCTGAAAATGAGATCATAAAGAAGAAAGTTTTAGCCCATTGGTGGGTTGGTGAGGAGTTTATAGACACTTTGGGAGAAAATGGCCAGACTGCTGAGAAGACGGCAAATGAATCTTCGAGGAATTTACAGAAAAAGGTCTCATCAAGCCGGTGTACAAAAAGCGCAGACCAAGTGCTGACAGCTGCAAAATGGACCCTGCTACTCGTCATGCCGTGATCGTGCTTGCAAAGAGAGATGGGTTCTTCAATTTCGATGCGGATGGAAATCCTACCGAAGACTTTACTTGCTCTAGGAGGGCATGCCTGGTCAAAACCGACGAAGGTTCTTCTATACTCGAATTGCCATTCCATTTAAAACAGGAGAATGTTCGAAGTATGATCAATGTCAATGAGCCTGATCTTGAGTTCAGACCAGACTGGTTCTCGAAGATGAAAAACGTCAGAGTGTTGCAGCTTGGAAGATGGCAGAGCTCTGCCGAACATCTGATTCAGATAGAGGACAGTGACTTCTTAAAAGGGTTGAAGAATATGAGACATCTCCGGTACTTGAGTCTTCGAGGAGTCTCTGGAATTACTGAGCTTCCGGCTGCAGTCTGCAAACTCAGCAATCTGAGGATCCTGAACCTCAACGGCTGTCTTGATTTGGAGAAAATTCCTCGAGGGATAGGCTCACTCAAGAACCTGACACACTTAGATATGTACGAGTGCTACTTGATGAGCCACATGCCGAAGGGACTTGCTTTGCTCTCAAATCTCCAAGTGCTTAAAGGGTTCGTGATCGATGAGCCAAGGCCTGCAGGAGGTGGACGCCAGCCCTGTAAGCTAGCTGATTTGTCAAGCTTGCAACATCTAAGAAAGTTGAGTATCCATGTTGACATAAACAAAATGTCCGACGCTGTGGAAAGAGACCTGATTTCTTTGGCAGATTTTAAAAAGCTCCGGTCTTTATCCATATCATGGTCAAGACTTTATGACCACATAAAACGTCCACCACTCCGGAGGAGGCTAACCAACAAGCTTTCCAGCCTCTCAAAATTAAAATCAAGAAAATCATCATTTTCATCAACGCCGCCAGTTTCTCCATCAAAGGCTTCAGACTCTCCATCGCTTCGTGTTCTTTTGGAGAAACTTAACCTCCATTACTTCCCTTATTCCAAGATTCCTGATTGGTTGATGCAATGGGAATTAGACAAACTAAAGAAGCTCCATATCAGAGGGGGAAGACTCTCAGATTTGTGTCACGGAAATCAATGCCAATGGAACGTCAAAGTTTTACGCTTGAAGTTCTTGGAAAGATTGCAGATGAGTTGGCCGAGACTGCAAGAATTGTTTCCAGAGTTGAATTACTTGGAGATATTCGAGTGTCCTAAACTCAGTTCCATGCCATGCGACAATGAGGGTGTGTGGGTAAAGGGAGGCTCAAAGCAAGAAGAAGCATCGAACAGCAATCATCATTAATAGAACTAGAACTAGAATATTTATGTTTTAATTTATTGTTGTATCCATGTGTTGTTTGTTGCACCTGCTAGCTACAGTATGATAATCCCATAACCGTCTATTTTTTAGATCTTACCTTAAAAATCATGTCTACCAAAAATACTGAAACCCAAAACCTTGACCATTGAATTAAATTTAGTGTTTCTTTGTAAAACATATTTGTCTATTTCCTTTATTGCAAATGAATGTCTTAACAGTTTTGGATTTGTCTAATTTTTTGCAAAAATAATCTATGAATGACATTCTAAAACATAGACAATTCAGATAGTTGAAATACATTATAGAATTGGCTCTATAAAAATGCATGTCAAAAATTGTGTAAAAAAGTAGTGCTACGAATCCTCCCCATAATTAAATAAATGAGAATTCTAACTCACCGTGACTCGTATTCAAAGAAGTGTTGAGCCTATCATCTTAGCCCAAAATATCTAACAAGACTAGTTAGCTAAATGATTGAGTAGAATAGTTTAGAATATCACTCAATTAAATGATTGCATCTGTTTTGTTGAGTGTGTGGGATTTACATCAGTGCTCTGTGCTACATACTAATCTTACTGAAAATAACGTGTGTTTGTTTAAGCTTGTGTTGAAAAGCCTGTTTTGTCCTCGTTGCCCAAGTCCAACACCCTTTTGTTCCGTAACCCAAATCCCCAAAAACGTGTTTATACAAATGATAAGTTTTGAGTGAGTTGTAGTGCCACTCAGCACAGCCCTATAAAACCCTAAAACAACAAATTCGATAAGTGGAAGGAAAATAACAAGGCTTTTCTAGGTTTGATGAAGTGAACATGATTCAGGTATATTTCTGGGCATGGATTGATTTAATGATGGCATTGGGTTGCTGGGAACAGCAAGGAGAAGTGAGGAGGTGCGCTTGAAAAAATAAGGCCTTTTATTTTTGTTATTCGGTTTTAATTAACTAACTAATTATGTAGTAATTTATATTTATATTTTTACTTGAACATAACAAGGAGTCTTTTATTAATTTGGTTTAATAAATGGTAAGTTTTGAGTGGACGGTAATTGCACTCACCACTCAATACAATTTAGTGACAAATCAAGTCCCACACAAATTTTTTATCTAACGAAGGGCTAAGTAGGATGAAAGATTCTTGAGTAACACCAATTTTAGATAACTTTAGCAGAAGGGAGCTGGGACCAGGAGAGGAACAGTTAAATGCCTGCAAAAGAATCCTCGAGGTAAACACAGAAGTTAAACATGCTGCTGTCGAAGGAGAAAGATAAGAAATGGGATCTGATGAGTGAAGTATGGGTGGAATTGCTTTCGTATACTGCAGACCATTGCAGAGCGAACGATCTTGGCCGGTTCTCTCCTTCTCCGTTCCCTCCTTTCCCCTCATTTCTTCCTTTTCTGATTGGCACCCTCTCCCCCTTTCCTCTCCCGCATCTCTCCTTTTCCCCTCTCTCCCGCTGCCATCTGGCAGCTTCCAGTCTTTTTCTTTTTTTTTTTTTCATTTTATTTTTAAAGCCTCTAAATTTTTTGTTTCAACTCCGATTCATGAACGGTTTTCACCTATACGCTCATAAGATCGAACTATGTCCAATTATAATTAATATGCTCTCATAAGGTCTACGAATTTTTAATGATTACCGACCAAAATTCAAAAATCGTAATTAGTTTAATTAAAATCTAAATTTAATAAAACTCATATAAATTCTCGAAATAATTTAAAATCCCGCTAATACGTAATACGTAATTTACAATAGTGAAATCCAGGAGCGGGATTTCACATGATGACTTTGATACAACCCACACTCTGCTTCTTGCTCAATGTAGCAGTGAAGGATATATTTCTTGTCACAATGCCAACAATTACAATAACAGCTTTCCCTTTACAGTATTTCCCTATATAGTAACTAGGTAGCTTCCTCTCTAATTCACTCCCTAACAACCTCCTAACAACCAAAAATTCTAAGTAAATCTTGTTTGTTCTAGTAAGCAATGCCAACACATCACTACAATCATGCTGATTTAGCATAATACACAACATCCTATCAGACTTAACATATTACGTTGTTGATTGTTGTTGTGGTGGTGACACAGTCCTAAAGCAAGGGGGCTTCTACTCCAAGGAGTAGAAAGCTCCCATTAACTCGTTATGAGGTTAGCCAGAGTGATTTTTAGTGTGTTGGAAATCCTTTACTAGTATATTAAATGTTATAATGCAAATGATTGGGTATTTGGAAAGAAAAAAAATTCAACCACTCGTATTGCGACACTTGGTGTACTAGGTTATGTTTCTGATACACTGAAAATTTTTAAATTTCAATCACTTATATTATAACATTTGATATATTAAATTGTGTTCCCAACACGTTGAAAACTTTATGGTCAGCCGATGGCTTGTTTCCATCACATATGGATATGGTACAAACAAAGACTGAATCAGTCGTCTCGTGGGCTTCCTGGTAAAAGATGAGACTGTACAAAAGACTACGATACATGAATGCATGGTTGAAGGATCTGAATTCATAAGAGATTTTTCAGTGTTCCAAATAGAGTGGTACACCACATTTCACAGTAGAAATGATGAGATATATGTGTTAAAAAGTTAATAACTTAAAAAATAAAATTTTTTACCACTTATATAAAAATACGTGATGTACCATCACTGTTCTAGTCACAACGAAAAATTTCTCTTAATCCACAATGATGAAGCTGCTGGACCCAACTTCGCAGTGGTTGCACCTCAAAAACTGGGAAGTTGAATAGAATATTCAAAGTTTGTGTTAATATATAATTAGCCTACTATCACCAAAAACAAAAACGAGTATGAAATTTCCACCGAATTGGTTCCACCATCATATGATTGTGACCCAATGTCTCTTTCAAGTCAATCTAGAGAGAGAAAAAGTCGCGCACTCAAGAAAGACGACAAAGCTTTCTTTCTTATCACACACTGCAAATTAAGCTCTCTTTCTGATCACGCACTGCAAATTAAGCTTCAAGTTTTATGCACTTGGAGGAGATTAATTACAGGAGGAAATATGGTGAGAACTATGCAGCTACCCATACCCAAAGAGCTGATGAAGATATGGGATGTATGGAATCTGAGGGGCTGCATTCTCTTGAGCCTTGCTATTCAAGTTTTCCTAACGCTTTCCGCGCCGTTCAGGCAACAATGCAGAAGCATGTTGCTCCTAGGGTTGATCTGGTCGGCGTACTTGCTCTCCGACTGGGTTGCTGCTGTTTCCATCGGGGTAATCTCCAAAAGCCAGTCAGGGACTTGCGACTCTGGAAATAATGAAGACCTTTTAGCATTCTGGGCTTCATTTCTTTTGGTGCATCTTGGTGGCCCTGATACGATTACTTCTTTTGCTCTGGAGGACAATGAGTTCTGGCTCAGGCACTTGCTTCAACTCATCCTACAAGTCCTGGCAGCTGCGTATAGTTTCTATTTGACACTTGTCGAAAACAAGCTTTGGATCCCGACGATCCTAGTGTTTGTTGCCGGTACTATCAAATTTGGGGAGAGAACATGCTGTCTTTACCTTGCAAGCTTGGACCATTTTGGAGAGACTGCACTGCCAAATCCAGAACCCGGTCCTGACTATGAAGAGACCGTCGCGATATTTACTACAATGAGGTCAGAAAAGGTAGGGATGCCGCTGCCAACAAGGCCATTGCACATTGGGAAGGGGATTAATCATAAAGAAAACCCCAATGTTGATGGAGTTTCTCAAGAATCTTTAGATGACATGGAGTTATTGCAGGAATCATATCACTTCTTCGAAAGCTTCAAAGGACTCATTGTTGGGTTCCTTCTGAGCTTCAATGATAGGGAGCGCAGTCGATATTTTTTTCTCGAAAGAACTCCCATCAGTGCTTTTCAACTGATAGAATATGAGCTCAGTTTCATGTATGAGGTTCTCCATACCAAGGTATTTGTGGCGCGACACAGAATTGGCTACTTGCTCCGTTTAATTACCTTCTGTTCAACCATCGGTGCCTTGATGTTGTTCGCTTCAGCTGAAAAAGATGAGTTTAAGAAACATGAGTTCGGTAAGTTTGACATTGTTCTTACTTATGCATTGCTTGTCGGAGCCATAGTCCTCGACACACTATCTGTGTTGTTGAAGCTCATTTTCTCTGACTGGACCATCATTGCCTTAAGAAACATCTGGAGCCAATGTTATATCCCTGCATGGATATTGAAAAGACGAAGGTGGTCTGGATCGGTGTCCCAGTATAATATGATAAGGAATTGCCTGGATGAGCGTCCAGAATGGGTGTTCGCTATTGGTGGTTTTCTGGGTTTTAGAGGAATCCTAGAAAAGATAAAAGTTTCAGTCTTTTCTTCCTCTGAGGAATTCACGGATGAGCTCAAGGGCTTCGTGTTTAAGCAGCTGAGGATAAAATCTTTGGAAGCAAACAACAGAAGAACCAACATGGAGGCGTGCTCACAAAGAGGGGACTGGGCTCTCTGGTGGACTTCAGATTACACGGAACTCAAATGGAGTGTAAAGGAGTATCAGTATGCAGAAAGTGTTCTTCTGTGGCACATTGCAACGAAACTCTACTTTGCAAAACCTGTGGAAGATGCCGATCATGACGGAAAACGAAAAATCTGCAAAATACTTTCAGATTATATGTTTTATCTTCTGGTGATGCAGCACAAGATGATGGCCCCGTTCTTGGGAAATTGGCATATAGTCTTTCAGGACACTCGTGCAGAGACAAAGAGGTTCTTTTCGAAGCACTCAATATCTGATCATCGAAACGCCTGCGACAAGATCACTGCTCTGAAGGCCGAATACAGATCAGCAGCTGTGAAGGGAAGTAAAAGCAAATCTGTGTTGTTTGATGCATGTTACCTAGTAGGAGAGCTTGAAAAGTTGGACGGAGACTCGTGGGAGCTAATGAGCGGAGTGTGGGTGGAATTGTTGTTCTCTGCTTCCATCAAATGTAGACCAATTGTACATGCTCAGCAACCAAGTAGGGGTGGAGAACTTCTGACTTTCACTTGGCTACTGATGACTCATCTCGGCTTGGGAACACAATTCTATGAGCTCGAAAACCATGCTGGAAAAATGGTGCTGGTCAAGTGAAATCATCCATCCAAGCTCCTTTATCTTTTATTTCTTTAGGGGGATGAAATATATTGTATGACTTTTTTACAGTTTCTTTTCTTGGTGTGGCGATCCGTCTGAAATAAAATGAACTTTATCCGTCGATTCAGTTCGGATGAAATTCCAAGTTCAGTAGCTCATTTCACGGTTCTAAAAGGTGCTAGTTGGGGCAGGCTTGAGTCCAACACATAGACGTTTAGGCGGGCCTTATTCTGTTTTTTTTATAACTTTAATTAAATTTATTATATAACATATAAATAAATTTCTACCTATACTTAAAAAAAAGAATACATAATTGTATTAGGGTACATAATTTGTCAAATATAACGATAAATAGATTTTAAAATATTAGAACATATTAAAAATATGGGGACAAGCATATAATGAGTGTTCATCTAAGTATTTAACAAGTCTCTTACAATTTATTAAAAAAATAAAATACAAAATAAAAGTTATCTATTTTCTGTCAAATAAGAGTCGCAACATAAATGGGTGTCTAAGCGGATCTGGGCGAGTTAGGCAAGAGCCTTGGCAAGTCTATGAGCCCTTCTTAATTTTCAAACGCCGAATGATTAATCGGAGTAATGATCATCCGCCTAGCACCTAGGCGGGGCCTAGACGGAGATTTTTAATACAGTAGTTTTGGTTTGAGGAAACTCACACCGAACTCGTGGAGGGAGACCTTGACTCTTTGATAAGTCTTTGATACAGCATGCCAAAGTTTACTAGTAATCATTGTGTAAAATGGTCCCTACTGGTGCGCTGTGAAGAACATTCAACGGACGAGATGAGCACTAGGACTACTTACAAAACTCTTTGAGCTCTTGTTTTTTCAATGAACAAGTCTCAACTCGTTCTTTCTCTGTTTGTGTTTTCAATTCCTTCTTGATTATCCGTTATCATCCACCATGTCCACACAAGTGCTTTTTACCCCTTCATTCCAGTCACCTGGTCAGTCTCTAGCCCTTCTTTCGTGCCTGAATTCCGGGCAGGTCACTCCATTCCAATTTTTCAATGAAGTTATCATGCCCACTTTTGTGTGTCATGCAAAACATTTTCCAACTGAAATAGATTATGAAAATCACAAAAGCAGCAGCACCACCAACAGTGAAGAAGACTCTTCCTCTTGTAATCTGCAAACAATACTTCAGAAAATCCAGAGTGATCTCATTTACATCGAAAAGGCGTATGGCAGACTGAAGCAATGGGAAGATCATCTCAACCGTGCTATCAAAGATTTAGCTCTTCAAAGCTTACATGGTGCCTCCAAAGAGAGAACAGAGACACTCGAAAACAGCAGCAGACCAAATTTTCTTCACAACAAGCTTAACGAAACTCTCCGCATCACCTCCCGTTTAAAGGAGTTACTCTCTCACCCTCCTCGTTTATCTTCTGAGAGCTTAAAATCCATGGCGCGTGCGGAATTCAACCTTCGTCATTCCTTGGCAGAACTGCAAGATTTGAACTTGCAAAACATGAAGGAAGAGAGTTCAGCTTTCAAAGAAACCGAGAAAGCCTATGAAGGTCTAAGTGACAAACAGAAGCCGTGCTTCCTCTGCTTCTCAGTTTTCCCTGAAAATGCTGTCATAAAGAAGAAAGTTTTAGTCCATTGGTGGGTTGGTGAGGGGTTTATAGACACTTTGGGAGCAGAAGGCAAGACTAATGAGGAGACGGCAAATGAATTCTTCAAGGAATTTACAGAAAAAGGTCTCATCAAGCCGGAATACAAAAAGCGCAGACCAAATGCTGACAGCTGCACTATGGACCCTGCTACTCGTTATGCCGTGATCGTGCTTGCAAAGAGATATCGGTTCTTCAATTTCGATGCGGATGGAAATCCTACCGAAGACTTTACTCGCTCTGGGAGGGCATGCCTGGTAAAAACCGAAGAAGGTTCTTCTATACTCAAATTGCCATGCCATTTTAAACAGGAGGAAGTTCAATGTATGATCAATGTCAATGAGCCCAATCTTGACTTCAGACCAGACTGGTTCTCGAAGATGAAAAATGTCAAAGTGTTGCAGCTTGGAAGATGGCAGAGCTCTGCCAAACATCTGATTCAGGTAGAGGACAGCAAGTTCTTAAAAGGGTTGAAGAATATGAGAGATCTCCGGTACTTGAGTCTTCGAGGAGTCACTGGAATTTCTGAGCTCCCGGCTGCAGTCTGCGAACTCAGCAATCTGAGGATCCTGAACCTCAACGGCTGTCTTCATTTGGAGAAAATTCCTCAAGGGATAGGCTCACTCAAGAACCTGACACACTTAGATATGTACGAGTGCTACTTGATGAGCCACATGCCGAAAGGACTTGCTTCGCTCTCACAGCTCCAAGTGCTTAAGGGTTTTGTGATTGGTGAGCCAAGGGCTGCAGGAGGTGGACGCCAGCCCTGTCAGCTAGCTGATTTGTCAAGCTTGCAACATCTAACAAAGTTGAGTATCCATGTAGACAAAAAGCTCAGCGCTGTGGAAAGAGAGCTGGTTTCTTTGGCAGATTTTAAAAAGCTCCGGTCTTTATCCATATCATGGTCAACACTTTATCGCCAACCTCCAACTCTCCAGAGGAGACTAACCGAGAAGTTAGCCAGCCTCCCAAAATTAAAATCAGCAAAATCATTGCCTTCATCAACGCCGTCAGTTTCTCGATCACGTCCTGCTCTTTTGGAGAAACTTAACCTCCATTACTTCCCTCGTTCTAAGATTCCTGATTGGTTGACACGATGGGAATTAAATAACCTAAAGAAGCTCCAAATCAGTGAGGGAGGGCTCTCAGATTTGCATCACGAACAATGCCCATGGAATGTCAAAATTTTACGCTTGAAGTTCTTGAAAGAATTGCAGATGGATTGGCCAAGCCTGCAAGAATTGTTTCCAAAGTTGAATTACTTGGAGATATTCGATTGTCCTAAACTCAGTTCCATGCCATGCGATAATGAGCGTGTGTGGGTAAAGGCAGACTCAATGCAAGCAGAAGCATCGAACAGCAATCATCATTAGTAGAACTACACTTGTATCCTTGTATTGTTCAGCTGCTAGCTAGAGATAGGGTATGATTAATTCCACAACCAAATTATATGTTTATGTATCGACGGCCTCGTTTGGTAGCTCGGACTGTATTGACTATTTCAGTCGAATAAGATAATTTATAATCAGATAATACTAATTACATTAGTCGGACGTTTGGTGCAGTATCAAACTAAAAACTGAATATTTAATACTGTGCTTGTAAAAGGTTTTCCATAATGTTATTATTTGTTTGTCTATTGCACCAACAATAATAAAAAAGATAAAGGAAGAAAATGGAAAACCCGGGTTGTCGTCTTCCTGTATTCATATCTTCAAAAGCAGGTTAAAAAAAAAGAATTTTAACGAAAAGCTCATGGTACTGTTTACTTTAATGAAAAATTATATTTTTACACTAAAAATCAAATCTGGTACTATTTACTTTACCCTTTATTTTGTCCTTATCGTTAAAACTCAAAGTTTTCTAGTCTTTTTCATTATTTTTCCTTAAAAAAATGGTGATACGGGTCCACTTTTATAGTTAAATAAATGAGATCTCTAACACACCGCAACTTATATCCAAACAAGCGTTGAGCATATCAATCTTAGACCAAAATGTCTAACAAAACTAGTTAGCCAGAATAATATGTTCGTCTATTTACAACTGAGTTTGAAATTTCCTTTATTTAAATTTAGAATAGTTTAGAACATCGCTTAATCAAATAATAACGTCTGTTTTATTAATTGTGTGGGATTCACATGCGTGCTCTGTAGTACATTTAAGCTTCATTGCTTTATACTTTTATGTCGGGATCCAATCGGACAAAGATGATCCATACTAATCGTACTGAAAATAACGTGTGTTTGCACAAATTTTTGTTGAAAAGCCCGTTTTGTCCTCATTGTCCAACACCCTTTGTATCATATCCCAAATCCCCAAAATAAAATACATTAAATATACTAATTGAATGACCCTATCACCCACTTAATCAAAACTTTGTCGTTAGTTAAAACATTAAATATAATAATTGTTTTAACAGTTTAAGAATATAACATAACACCTAAAAAAATATTTAAAAGTAAAACATGAAAAAAAAATATTTAAAAGGCAGACTCAAAGCAAAAAGAAGAATCGAACGGCAATCATCATTAATAGAACTAGAACTAGAATATTTATGTTTAAATCTGCTGCTGTATCCTTGTATTGTTTGTTGCAACTGCTAGCAACGGTATGATTAATTCCATAACCAAATTATATGCTTATGTCTAGTGTAGTTTTATTATAGTCTGAATAGCTCATTTGGTAACCAGATACACTTATTCTTACTTTATAAGATATCATATAGTTAAAAGGGGGCGGATCCGTAATACTATTTTTATTTTCGTTTTTTAAGTACGTTTTTATAAGGTCCATTTTGTAATATATTTTAATAATCCGAACCGTTTATTTTCTAGGCCTTATCTCAAAAATCATGTTTATTAAAAATACACAAATCCAAAATCATATGATCATTGGATTAAGAGTTCGTTTAGATGTGCATTTAAAATGACTAAAAATGCTTTTGGTTAAAATGTTTTGTGAACCAATCCTTAATTAAAATACAAGTAAATTTTAAAAAAGCACTTAAAGTGCGTCCTAGAAGAAGCAAATAACTAGTGTTTCTTACAGAAAGCACTTCAAGTGTTTTTGGAACCGAAAAACATTTTCTCTAGAAGCGCTTTCAGTCATTCTAAAAGCACATCCAAACGAGTCCTAAATTTAGTGTTTCTTTGTAAAACTGTATTCTCTATTAACTACAAATGAATGTTTTAATAGTTTTGGATTTATCTAATTTTTTGCAAGGATAATCTATGAATGATATTCTAAAATATAAATAATTTGGATCGTTAAAACACATTACAGAGTGGGCACTATAAAAACACATGTCAAAGTCCATGGAGAGTTCCACTTTGAGAGAGTCTCCTTAGCTTTTCTCTTTATGTAAATGACAAGTTTTGAGTGGATGATAGTGCCACTCAGCACATCCTTATAAAACCCTAAAACAACACAGAAACAATATATGCTATGTATTTTTTCAAGCAAAATAAAGAATTCGTTGAGTAGAAGAAAAATAACAAGGCTTTTCTAGGTATGAAGTGAACAAGATTC